TGTAGGTCATCTGTGCTCCTTCCTTGTCAGTCTTATGCCAATGCTTTTAGTTGCTATAAATCTTTTAAGTCTGAGGGGAGCACGTCCCAGCTGAAACGATGAGCGTTCTTTCTTTATTCAAAAGGGAGAGGGTTTTTTAGGAAGTGTCAGGGGCAGTCCTAGTGACCTCACCCTCCGTTCCAGCTTGGGATGAGCTGTTCTCTTCCCCATCTCTGCCGTTATCTCTCGCTAGGACGCAGACAGCCCTCGTCCTCCTGCCTCAGCTCCAAAGCTGGGATAATGGAACTTTAGCGCTTCTTGAGGATATTGTGATGGATGCTTGTAATAATGTCTCCCATCTCCAGCATGATCGCTCTCTCATCTCCTATTCGGCCATTTCTTTTCACATTCATTAGTCTTCTAAATGTACCTGTTCAGCAAGCCATGCCTGAACCAGCCTATCTAAATAAATATATATACACACCTATTTTTTTATATATATATATGCCTGTGTTTAAGCATAGATCCTCGACAAGCGATAGGAACTCGTGCTCAAGTATGATTTGCTGGCACGAAGCTCTTGAGCGTGAACCCGGTCAGAAGCATGACCTGTCGTGCAGAGTGGGGTGTTCAAGTGGGAAGCTGCTTTTAAAGAGGACACACACCTAAATCAAAAATAGCGCTGTAAAACTGGGCGTGTGTGGAGCTGCCTGATGACTTTGGATAGTTTTCAGGTTGGGAGAGGAAAGCTTTCTCCTTACCTTTACCGTAGCCCTCGGTGTGCTGCCATTCCTGGGTAAAAGTAGCCACGTTTTAGAGGACTAATAGGACTTATTTTTCCTATGGCTATTTAAATTTAGAAGGGATATTTAACTCTGTGCTTTGGCTAAGAGGAAAACGTCACAGCTCACACGCTGATTTTTCTAGAAGCGCACGTGTTTAGCCCTTCACAAAAGCGTTGCTGAAGTGTAGCCACATTTACCAGGGAAGCGCAGCACGTCACGCCAAGTGGGAAGGTTTAGTAACTCTTGAAGTCTTTAGGAAAAGTCGGGAGTAGCTGGAGTGTTCCTCTCCTGCTCCTCATCAAAACCCGTGAGCGTCTGGCCCTTTGCTGGTGATGTAAGAAAAAAAATGTGCTGTTACCATGAAGTATTCTTGCTTGTTATTCATGGATGTAATCCGTGTTGTAACTAACTGTAAGTAACCCCACAGCTCATTGAGGTCGTTTTCCCTTGTGTAATTCCAGCACTAGCCTTTACGTTGGGTAACGTGCCAGTGGGGCCCATTGGGCTCCTCGCGCTGTGACAGCCCGCGAGGCTCCGCAGTCGGCGCAGTGTGTCCCGGGGCTTAACGTCTTCCTCGTTAACTTGTTTTTAAGATGTTTTGTGGGGTTTTTTTCTGTTGCTAAGAATTACTGATGGCCTTAATTTTTTCTCCCTAGAAGTGGAAAGCTAAATAACCATTTAGAAGCTGCTATACACGAGGCCATGAGTGAACTAGACAAAATGTCTGGGAATGTAAGTTTCTTTTCGCGTCAGCGATAATCTTTTGCTGTGTTTCTGCATGAGTGTCGCATGGAGGCTGGGGGCGTTGCTTTGGGTGCCTTTCTAACATAAACTTTGGTTCTTTTTGTTCTTTTTTTAAATGGAATTTTCAGTATTTCTCCTGCAAACGTGTCCTGTTTGCAAATGTCTAATCGTTCTGAAAAACGGGAGAAGTTGTAGATTTTGAGTTGTGTTGCCAATTATATGATTTTTTGGTTTTTTGCAAATGCGGGTGCCTAGACCTACTTTTACACATGCAGCCTGATAACATTTGAATCAGTTCCATTCCCACTCATATTCCGTGGGTTTTCTCTGACTGGCAACACCAAATCAGGCTCATTTGGTTTTCAGTTTGCACAGCAAGTTCTTGAAACCACGTTTAAAAGTATCATTCTTTTGAACGTAAAACTCTTTGAATAAAGTTTTTCCTCATGTGAAATGAAAGATACTGTCATGAAAGGTAAGTTTTAAAAAAACCCAACAATTATTCCTGATATCAAATCTAAGTGTTCTTTCTACAATAATTACACTGTTATTGTGGAAGCCCAGGATCTTTCTAATATGAAATTTGGATTATATAATGTGCTCGCCTTCATATTTAAACCATGGCTGTAATGTCATGGAAGCACACTTAGAAATGCAAAAAGCTCTGTCACAGCACATGTAACCTCCCACACCTTGTCACTGGTAAATATTCAAATTATTAATTATAAACTTGAATAAAGAAAACAGTCTTTTCCGTGTTACTCAGTGCTCAGTACTGAAGGTGCTTGTGCACGTGCATACTTACAAGTAGTAGTAAAACCTCAGGGAGCTTCTGAAGTAGCTGAAAGGTGATGCATGCAGAACTGCAGCCCGAGAGCAGGTTTCGGAACCCCAAGAAACACTAAATAAGTTACTCAGCAGCCTTTAACAGCTGCTCCGAGTAATAACAGAATCAAATCTTTTGTTTAAACTTCTGAATTTTACCAAATGAGATGGAGTTTTGATTTAAAGTGACATGTGTTTTACTCTTGTCTTTGGGCGGAAAAGGAAGGCACAACCTGATCGATGGGTCAGTTACAAATAAATACGGTGTCAGCTACACCATCACGTACATGTGTGGACTGGACCATTCTGCTGATACCTTATTTCTTCCTATTTATAAATCCAGTAATACTAAAAACTGGGTGCTGGGTACATTTTAACTATGATATAAACTGGCTCGGGGGAAACCCGATGTAACTGCATTTGCTGGTGTGGTTGTTTGGAAATGCAGCCGAGCTCATGTATGAGCCTGCACGTCACTACGTAGTCGTAGTTTATATTTTAATTATTTGATCACAAAATCTGTGATCAGAGTTTATTTCCGTAAAGATTATGAGTCCTAGAAACACGCAGGGAGTCGACATTTCTCTTTTTAAGTGACTTGCACTTTTTTCCAGCTAACGCTCTTCAGGCATCGGCTACATTTTAAATGAAAACACCAAATAATTAGCTTAAAGCATGATTAGTAAAAGCCAATAAATAGGTGGGAGACGTTAGCAATCTGAGAGGGACCTGAGGAGATCCTGGGGCCGCTGCTGTGCCCGGGCTGCTGTCGGGGAGCTTGGCAGCTCGCCGGCCCATGGGGG